CCAAACGTTTTGCAGTTGCCTCATCTAAAAAAAAAAAAATGAAAAAGAAGACAAGCTTTGAAAGGATTTATTTCATATTCCTGACATGTATGGAGACATTTTAGAAATGCAGACAGAAGGGGGTTCTGATGAAACAGCCCTATCATTACCCAGGATGCGTTAGAAATTTTATCTACAGCAAAAAGTCCCTCTTCAGTCTTTCTTTCAGGTTAGAGAGAAACTATTTTCTTTGTAGCCATTCAAAGATGGCTCTGTTTTTGCCCCAGGATCATAACTGAAGCGCAGACGATATGTAAATGTCAAAAATAGCCAGAGGTTACTTTAGGAGCACGTTCCTTGATGAAAGCCCTTCAAACTGAGCGAAGAACACTAATTCTAGAGGTGAACATGATTTTGCACTTATAAAAGCTGTTATTAAAAATATCTTAGATAACAAGGACACTAGGGAAAAATTAGTTCCCACACTAAGATTAAATGGACATTTAATCTGCAATTAATATAATTTTCTTTTAGTTTTTAATTATAATGCTGGGCATATTTGTTAACATTTTTAATGGAAACAAAAGGATAATGTAAATGCTGGACCAGAGATGCTGGTGGACTGAAGACGGTGGAGATGAGGAGGTTATGAGTGGCTTTGAGGAGGGCAGTTTCTGTGTCGTGTTGGGTGTGGAATCCAGATTGAAATGTTTCTAACTAATGGCTGCTTTTTTTTTCACTGACTCTCCTGATCGTCCATATTTTTGAGTCTAGCAATTATTGACAGAAATTTAAAATTCTCTAGTGAAATTTCTAATAGTTTTTCTTACATTTTGTGGGACAGTTCACATTCTTCCCAGTAACAAAAAGTCCATGCAAAAATGGAAATAGTTTTTATTTATTGGTCTATGGTTATATCTAGGGAATACATCCATCATGCGGAGAAACTAGTCCATGCATTTGTTACTTCAAGGCTGGACTATTGTAATCCTTTACTATCAGGAAGTTGAAACTGTAGTTGAAAGCCTTCAGCTGATCCAAAATGCTGGAGCCAAAGTTATGATGAAAATTAAAAAGAGCTTCCTGTTAAATTTGGAATAGAATTAAAATCCTCCTTCTAACATATAAAGCCTTAAATTGCCAAGCTCCATCTTATCAGAGATCTGATTGTTCCTTTTATCCCTAACAGAGCACTTCACTCTCAATCTGCAGATTTACTAATAGTTCATTGTATACTGAGCTAGCTGTATAGTTATACTGCTATAGGCTTAGACTGCTGGAGGACATACCCCTTTTCATCGTTCTGCTTCATTCCATTTCTACTCTCCCATTCTGCAGTATTTGCTAGTTCAACTTCTGATGGTATGCTCTCTCTGCTTTCTCCCATCATAGTAGCTTCACCTGGTCTGTTCCTTTTTTGGCTGTGACACAATCATTGAGAGAAATGATCATCTGTGCTGCTGCCATCTACACCTTTGTTTATAGATGTTCGAGATCGGCCTGTTTTTCAGCGAAGTCCTGTTTCTCTGACTGTGAGTAACTCTATGTGCCCTCTTTCATCCTCTGACATGGGAGCTAGCTTGGAGCTTGCCTGCCTGACTGTGTGTGTTTCCTGCACATGGCCGTCTGTAGAGCTGGTACACAGTTACCTTTTGTATCTCTGGTTCTTACTCTACGTCTGCTTCTGTCTCCTTGAACCCCATTCGCTACAAGCATGCTTGGTTTGAGGGACTGCATTCAGGTCAATGCAATCTGCTGCTTTTCTTTTAATCAATTTGACTGTATGATCTGGTTGAACTGTCTCTGTGAAGTGTCTTAAGATGAGATGTGTTTTGAATTGGCGCTATATAAATAAACTGAAATGAATTGAAGTTGCAATTCTATTTCTTACACATCAACACACATCTGATTGTTATGCATTTAAAAAAAGAAAAACTTTCCTCCCAGACTGCAGGTTAACTGGTGGTTGACACAGATTCTAAAAGTAGAGCCAGAGGCAGATCTTTGAGTTTTCGAGCTCCTCTCCAGTGGAGCCAGCTCTTAGTTTAAATCTATGATGCAGACACATTTTCTACTTTCAGGACAATGCCTAAAACCCATTTCAGTCTTAGAAATAAAGAGTAGTTATAAGAACCATTACTGTGAGTGATTGAATGTAATCAGTTTGATTATCGCAGATTTTATCTCTGTCTTAGAGTTTTAGCTCAGCAGTGATTCTCTCCCAGGTGAAGCCACTAAAAGAGCTGATGCTGCAATTAACTCTCTTTGCCTTTACATGGACGTAAAAAGTACTTCTTTAATGCGTACGCTCCATCTTCTTTAAAACCCGGGTCAAACCTCATTGTAGCCTTAATGGCCAGGTTCTGTAGGGTTTTACTTTCAACTGTTAAAACATTTGCTCAAGGGCGTAGGTTTGATTTGAACTTTGGTGGGGACACTATTGGTCTGGTGTAATCGGTGCTATGCAATATGCATGCCCTTTTTTATGCTTGATGTGAGTATCTGTACTTATAAGAGGAATTCATTGTTAAAAGAGAAAAGCAACATTTTGCTCCATTAATAAAAATGTTATAAGCTCTAGACTCATTAGATGCTGTTTATCAATGTTTGAAGTATCACCGGCTCTGATGAATGTGGAATTAGGACTGTTTTCCACTTTGAAAACGGTTTCATTTGAACGCCTAAGAGAGAAGGTAAATACAGTATTTTCTTTTGAAGATATAGAATTGTGCAGAGTTAAACCCCACTCTAATATTTGTACCTACTTTTCTCTCTCTGTATCAAGCAAAATAATACATTCATTAAAATATTAACTTCACTATAAAAGTTGAACATCTGGACTGTAGTTACTCTGTGTAGCCCATTTCATGTATTTTATCTGGGGCTGAAAAAAATGAATCATATTAATTGATTATTTCAATAATCGTCAACTAATTTAGTAAGTGATTCATCATTAACTGGAGTATAGAGACTTTAAAACATACAGTAATATAAATGTAAAATGTGCCTTTCCCCACAGAGCAACCCACTTAGATCAGTTATTATATCAAAATTGTAAAAATAAAAACAAAAAAATGAAAACAGTAATATCAACTTAATATCGGTAAAATGGAAACCCTCACATTTTCTTTTTTAGTTGGCTGTGTATGGGAGAATTATCCTGCCATGGCTTACAGCCTTAATTTGCCCATTTTTCCAGCAGTCTTCAGAACTCCTGGCTGACTCAGAATATTTCGTTTTATAAAAGAAAAAAAAGATTTTTGTTTTTTAGTGTACATGATATTCATTTTTTTTTTTTTTTTTTTTTGGGACTAGTTTTGTAGCCTAATATTAATTGTAGTAACCGCGGCATTCTAGTGTGAATACATTTTCAAAGTTGTGCTCCAAGCACACGCGGACTAGAAAACAGCCAATCAGAGAGAGAGAAGGCGGAACTTAAGGCAGAACAACCAATGAGAGGGGCGTTAAACAGCGCAGCACAGTTCCATGCGCTGCTACATGAAAGGGACAGGAGAGACCAGGCAGAGGAGCTGCGAGAGGAACAGAAGCCACTGCTGCAATAACTACTGCTGTAAATTATAAACATGTTCCTCACATCCAATTATTGGTAGGGACAATTAGGTCGGTTCAAAACTTTGGTAGGGACATGTCCCTATGGTCCCTATGCAAACCTACGCCCATGCATTTGCTGCAGTTTCAGACACTTCTGCTTCTGAGTCTGGTTTCCTTACACAAAACTGGTATGATACGCTTAATTTAACTGTATTGTTTAATAACTACCTTAAAATTTATGATGATTGGATTTAATTTATTGTATATAAACTTTTATTCAAGTGCGCTGAGAGGACAGTTGCTGTTAGTCGTTGCTTTACTACAAAATCGAATTGAACTGCATCATCTGCATAAAAAGACAGAATAGCAACAGGTCATGAATTCAAGGTTTTATCTTCATGCCTAATTAAACACAAATATATTTACATATTTTGTTTAATGGAAAATTCAAATCAAAGTTAAAATTGTAAATGTTTTTTTTGGTTAGAGTAAAAATGTGAACATATGATTGATAGCATCTTAAAAAAGTGGATCTACATGGTCGATGCTCAGTACCATACACTGCCCTACTTAAGCTTGTGTTTCACTTCAGGATTCAGTTTGTCACCATTAATAAAAAAAAAAATTTTAAGTTCAAATCATCTTCATTTTCTAAATTATTGTTATTAAAGACCAAATTTGGGGACATTCAGGGCCTGTTAGCAAATAAAAAAGGATTACTCCAAGAGACAGTAATGAATGTATTTCAGTTTGAAGTCCCTTAACTTGAGTTTGTTTATTAAATTATGTTTAGATTATGGTTCTTGTGGTGAAACAATAACTGATGGAAACAAAAAAATAAACTTAATGCATTGATGGAGATTTTTCATGCTTTGTGCTCCACATTTTTCACAGCAATTCCAAGTCTGTCATGTGTTTACAGGCTTCCCAAAGTGAAACAAGCAAATTACCGTCTGTGTTACACAGTACAGGCCTGAAAATGGGTTAGATGCAGTTTCCATTCATCAGGGACGTGTTACTCCTATTTATGCTACCCTGTTTTTTTTTTTGTGTATTTTTTTGTATACAAGCATTCTCTTTGTCTCACAAGTCTGAGTGTGTGGCTGTGCGTTTATTTTTTCTCCTGCAGGGGTGAAGGAGACGAGTACATCAGATAATATCCCAGAACAAGCGCATGGAAAACAGCTTCCTACACCCGGCTGCCCCGCCTCAAGGCGGATGACACCACAACAAGATTATTCCCACCATGGAAAGGGAAGGTGGGAACAGTCATGGTTGTACAACAAGATGAGTGAGGAAAGAGAGGATATGGATTTTTGGGTCTAGATAAATAAAAGAATCAAATCTTTTAAGCATCAGCAGGATGATATTCAAGGTTTCTTTTTACATATGTTCCTTGGGGAACATGACAGCCTTCAAACACAGACCTGTAAATATTAAAGGAGTAAAAAAAGATGATTTGTACTCACCTCCAAAGGGTGCTCTCGGTGACACTGCCAATGTGGAAGTCGTATAGTTTGGTCAGAATGAGGATAACCTGCAAAGAGAGGAGATTTTTAAATTAAAAGTTTGTCTGTCATTTCTGGTCTTAAAGGAGTCATAGATTGCAAAACCGAGTTTTCATTGTCATAGATAAATAACGACAGTTCAGTGGGTGAAATGGACGTACCTTTTCACAATTCTAAACTTCTACCATAAAACGAGCAAATTCAAACGAAGCACCGAATTGAGATCAACTAGGGGATGTCGCCTTATTTGGTTCTGGCCTGTACTTTTGTCATGCCTCAAAATTGACATACAGACCAGCCCACTGGTTCACAGGCCCAAGAACTTGAATAGATGTAAGACACCAGTTTAGCTGTTTAGCCTACAGTTGGGTTTACGTCCCCTAGAATTACAAAGCAGGCAGTTTCTGTATTGAAAATGAGCCAGAACCACATGCGTAAATGCAGTGTTCCAGGCTGCATGGAGAAAGGGGAAAATTTTCATAGTCTTCCCAAGAATCGGAAGACTCAACAGGCATGGATTATTTTTGTCTATCAGAAAATCCCTGCAAAATTTGATGCTCAGCTATTCATTTGCTCTAAGCATTTTACCAAAGACAGCTTTCAAAATCTTGGACAGTTCAAAGCAGGATTTGCTAAATTTCTTTTACTGAAATAAGGGGCTGTTCCGACCTTAAGACCATCACACCCACAAGCTGTAAGTATGATTCTGGGCTAAGCTGTTGATAGCAGTGCTAGCAAATCTAGGGTGACCAGATTTGGGTTTCTGAAAGGGCGCTGCTGACTTGACCGGACCGGCCCCAGCAACAGAAGAAGAGTCCGAACCCGACCTTCCCCCCCGCCTGCCTTACCGGGCAAGGCAGGGGGAAAATCGGGCTGCCGTTGTCTGGGCTACCATCACCACATCGGGTTTGGTGGTTGCTTCGTCCCCCACTGGCTCCCTTTTTCGACTACATGCTGCACTGCAGTTGACCAAAATCCCAGCCGATTTTGAAATTCCCCGCTGACATTTTTTTAGGTCTGAAAATAAGGACATGTCCGGAAAGACGTCTGGTAACCCTACCATATCAACAATTTGATGTTTCATTGAGTGAGTGCTGGTTGCTGTGATGCGTCTTTGCTCAGCAGCTTCGCTCGTTGTAAACCAACCAATCAGCGCACAGCTCATCTAAATATTTATGAGCGTACCATAAAAGGAAGAAAACCTTTCGTTTCATTCTAGGGCTCTTAACCAGGCTTACATTAGGGCTCATAGAACAGCAAGTATGCCATTTTCAGTCCAACCAATGTTACACACCTATTCAGAGACCATAGGGACAGCACCAATTACCTTATAGAATCATTCTATGACCCCTTTAAGGACCTGCTTCTCTGACTGTTTAGGGGTCCATTAAAAAACTGGCAAGCAGAAAGGACCGTTAAAGTCGTAGGGAAGCGGCTGTTCCAACGGTTGCATTTCTGAATTCTCCCAAGTGGTGCCCAACCCTACACAAGTGAATAAAGTGAATGTGATTGGTAATTTATTAGGGGGGCAGGATTGTTGTGGTGGAAGGTTTGCAAGCAAGTTTGATTGTGGCTGGTTTGTCGGAAGCATCTTGCTAACCAGTTAGTAACTTAGTGCTAGTAGGTTCCCAATGGGAAATTCCATTGGGACCAAGTAGCACTAAATTGGTGACTTAGAAACGACACTGTCATGGAACTCTATGGACAGCGGAAACATGCAAGAGGAGGAGAGTTTAGCGTCTGAGGTCATGGATTAGTATCCTCTCTCAACTTTTTCAATCATTATTTTAGATCTTCGGCAGCTCTGGCAATCTACCTTATGTAAAAGAAGTTGCTTTTTTTGTCATTTTCTATTCGAGGGCTTTCTGTGTTCAAGAGACTCAAAATGAGAACTCTAGAACACTAATGTACTACTAATAGAAAAAAGGGAATTATATAAAAACTAGGAGTGAGCATTATGGCAGAATATGTTTCTATGTATTTTAAACTGAAATTATAAATTCCATTGTATCATGATGCTGGTGCATAAAGCAATGTGCCCAGCACATTGTTTTAATTTAGACATTTAAAAACAACACTCAGGTAAGCGGCACACTACATACTGTAATGGAAATCCAACATTGTGAAAATGTATCATCTTATTGTTTGCAGATGTGGTAATACGTATGGCAGGTTGAAGGGTACAAAATAAAAAAAATATAAAAAATCATAGTTTAATTTACAAATTTGTTGTGTTCATTAGCTTGCAATGCTAATGGAACAAAATTCTCTCCATAGTAAATACTATAGATGCTAACTGCATTTCGTTGCTTGTACTTGTGACAGTGCAATGACAATAAAGTTGAATTCTATTCTATTCTATTCTATTTAATGACATGAAAGTAAGGGGCAGGAGGGGAGGCAAGGCTCTAGAACAGGGAGAGTCTGCCTCCGTCCAACTGTTAAGCCTCCACTGTTACAAATATGAACCTTTAATGCCAGTTAACTGACTTAGCACTGAGCAGCCAGTAGTTGCTGGGAGCTGAGATTTTAGCTTTCTACTTCTGCTGGAATAAACACGTAAATAATTGCACAGTATGCCTACAGGTTATGATGTTTTCTTAATTCTCAAACTGTGAAACTAACAACAAAAATATGACTTAATTTCTACTGTGGTAGACATAGCAACATGTAACAGTTTCATCACTACCACATAAAAGCTTATTTATGCAGCAAATAAAATGAATGTGTCTGAGAATAGAACTGCAAAGCAAATAATATTTCTCATTGATAATCCCATCATCTTTAGCTTTGGCAGACTGTCAGCACATCTTCCCTCACAATCTAATCCTGTTTTATTGCCCTCCCCTATAGTAAACTTTACTTTTTGTTCTTTTATTTTTTCCCATTAAATAAAGCTCTGAATATTTCAGTCATTTGTATTTTCACACAAATTTTTTGCAGGAGTGGAAACATAAATGGCTCTAATAATGTTTTACTTGTGTACTTATACTTTTTAATCATCAATTATATATTTGTGCCTTGATAAAATTCTAAGATCATATCCACACAACAAACCAAAAAGCTCTTAATCAATTAAAAATAGCACAAATATAATTTGTTGATCCTTTTTCTCATCAGATATTCTAAAAAAAGGTTCCTATTTTCAAAACATTGACACAGGCAAACAGTGAGGTGTGGTGAACACTGTCAGGGTGTAGCCCACCATGAGGTCAAAACAAAATAAAATAAGATGAAGTAAAACATCACTAAATATTAAATATGCTAACATAGTTTCACCATTTCATGCATTTATTTGGAGGAAGCTCTGTATGGAAGTAAATCGCTGGGATTGAATTAAAAATGCCACTGAAATTTAAATGTTGTTTCAGTGTTAAAATATATTCAGAACACATTTTTGACCTAAAAAAAAATTTAATTGTCATTATTTCTACACAGTTGAAATTTCATTTGTTATTTTCTCTTCAAGCAAAAAATGCACATTACTATTTCAAAGTGATTACATTTTCAATACGTATTTGTCAGTTCTCCTCTCTTTCTACTGGTTGTTAAATTTGACCAGTCATGCACGTAAGGCAGCCATTTTTAAATCAGTCCATGAACACAGGTTCCTCTTCTATTATAGCTCATGTTCCACCATTTATAATTACACTTTGTTCTATGTATCCTCATCAAGACTCACCGGAAGGCAAAATAGTTCCTCTATCAACTGAAGTACCGTCATCGGTTTTATAGAAATTTAATGTTAAATTTTGATTAACTGTATTGGCTTGCAGGTGTGCTTATGTATGGATGCAACAGGTGTCTGTTGGAGACAAGGCTTATTTTGATATATTGTGAAATGTTTTGCATGGTAGAATCACAGAAAAAATTAGAGAAAATTCATGTGTTAATCAGGTCGTCTTCCCTGCTAACCTAAAGCTTCAGAACTGGTTCTTCCAGTTTTCTCAAGGTATCAGATCTGATAACTTTGCTTTTTGAATTAAAGGTTGAAACAAACAGAAAAAGAAACAAAAACGATCCTCCAGCATATAATATTATTTATAATAATAATAAAAAAAGACATCTCAGTAATAGAACAACATGATTTTTATATTAAGGAGTAGATCATCTTAACTGTTTTAGAGGATGGAGTAGTTTATCCAAGTATAACATATCGTCTATTAGAGACAGTTTCCTGCAGCTCCCGCTGACAGCATCATAGCAATAATACTCTCATAACCATAAACACTAATGCTGCAGTCAATTCTTTAAACAAAGTCATTGCTGGGGGCTGTTTGCATGGTAATGACTTTAAACAGTTGTTAAACCGGACAGTTTAGAGGAAAATATTTCAAAACAGTGAGCAAACCATTCAGGTCTAATAACTTCATCCTTTGACGGCTGCTATATTATGACAGGAAAGTTGAGTGGATTCTGGTCCCAATATTCTACTAAACATTAAATGTTTGAGACATTTCCAAAAGAATAAAAACAGAACTTTACTTTTCATCACCTAAATGTGTAGACAATTAAAAAGCAATTCATTTAATTTCTATAGCACCAATTCACAACACGTCATCTCAAGGCATTTTACAGTTCACCAGATCATCCAGTCAGATTGATTCAAAGTTTTCTATCTAAGGATAGTTGATTGAATTGACTCATTGACTTGAAGGCATCCCTCACACTGAGCATGCTTGTAGCGACAGTGTAGAGGAAAAACTCCCTTTTAACAGGAAGAAACCTCCAGCAGAACCAGGCTTAGTGTGAGCGGCCATCTGCTGAGGCCGACTGGGGTTCAAGGAGACGGAAGCAGAGACAGAAAAAGAAGCAGAAATATAAAAGGCAAATCTAAACCAGCTTCACAGGCGGCCCTGTCCAGGAAACACACAGCCAGGCAGACAAGCTCAGAGCCAGCACCCATGTAAGAAGATTAAGAAAGCACATCCAGCCAGTCACAGTAAGAGAAACAGGACTACACTGAAAAACAGGCCAATCTTGAACATCTATAAACAAAAGTGTTAATGGCAGCAACAGAGCTGATATT